AGCCTCTAGCAAATCATGCTTGTCAAAGGTGCTTTTGAGAAACAAATATGCCTGTGACCTAACTCTTTGGGGAAACAAATAAACCTTGTGATCTACAAGCACTGGGAATAAATACTCAGGTGTCAAATCCTGGTCATCATCATAACCAAATGGTCAAAGCACAGTCTAGTAGTTTCACTCTCCCTCTGTGGATAAAGTTCGTGAAAAAAGAAAGCCTTTCCGTGTCACTGCACTGTCAGCCACACCGTCACTTCTGTATTTTCTGACTGCATTCTTGACACCTTCCAGAGCTGAGGAGCTGACGGAGAGTTGAAATAAATTCTCTGAAAGAAGTTGAGCTCAGCATCATTGAGAGTGCTGTCATTGTCTTGATCAGATATTTTAAATAGTACGAGTAAGGGCTTTTATACAGGCTGCCTACATCTCTTTCTCCTGTGGGCAGTAGAAGGGTCCTGCAGGATGAAGCACAGCTTTCTGAAATACTCTTATGCACGAATTACAAATAATTAATAAAGTAACTCTGCAATTATGTCAATATTTCTAGCAGAGTTTAAAGCATTCAGAATGTACGTAAAAGTATGTTTTGGTAGGGACCAGTATTTTTTTTAATCATTGCTGTTTCAATAACGCAAAGCCCAAAACGGCAAAAACAGTAGCACCAAAACTTGCTCGAAGCCAAAACGTGGAGCTCTTGAGGTCAGCTTGTGTCATGTGCAGGTACATGGCCATTGTTGTCAACTTAACAAGGATATCTTCACTGGGTGCCTCAGCAGTATTGCAAGTGAAGGCTTGTGGTGGAGGCTTTTGTTTCCTGCAAAAATCAGCAGGTGAAATACTATATTCTTGTTTAACTTCATGCAGGTCTGACTTTGCAGCTATGATTAAGCAAAGGATTCTGCTGTCCATAAAGTGTTGCTTAAAAATTCTGGCACAGCTCTAGCCGGTTTTGCTCAGTGGATAGAGCGTCAGCCTGTGGACTGAAGGGTACTGGGTTTGATTCCGGTCAAGGGCACATTCTCAGGTTGCGGGCTCGGTCCCCAGTAGGGGGCATGCAGGAGGCAGCCAATCAATGATTCTCATCATTGATGTTTCTGTCTCTCCCTCTCACTTCCTCTCTGAAATCAAAAGTATATTAAAGAAACATTTTTTTTT